GCTTTGAGGGATAAAAATATAGCGAGCAGTTCAAGGTTATTGATGTGATTTAGTGCTTCTGTGGGGGTCCATCTGCCTCCCGCTCTCTAGTCACCATGCACCCCTCCCCAACCTTGAGAAGAGGCATCAGTTTGGATTACTATATCAGCTTCACCATGTGAGATTGCTTTACAGGAAAAAGGTAGGTTTGCAATCCACCACTGCAGTTCCTCTCTTGAATTAACAGATAGAGATATTTCACTTGAGAAATTGCCTTTAGTTTGTCTCAAACTCTCAATTTTCTCAATGTCAGTAGTATAATGGGCCATGTTCCACGGCGGGGAAGCTGGAGACCATAAGCCAAATAACCTCTGCTAGATGAAGTATGGTGGGATGGGAGTTACTGAGAAGCTTTTCACATGCTTGGACCACCCTCTCAACTCTAGCATGAGAGAGTCGTACCGTCATTGACACTGAGTTTAGGACAAAGCCTAAATATTCGAGTTGTTGAGAGGGATGCAGACTTTCCAAGATCTCTAAGCAGTTGCACTGTGTTCAAGGCATTTTCATGACACTCATGAAAGGTATCTCCTTGCAGATAAAGATCATCTATGTATGCAGATGACAAGAGGCCTTTTTCTCTAAGGACTTTAAACACAGGTTTAAGCAGCTTGGTAAATATACGGGGTGCAGAGCTCAACCCATTTGGTAGACACACATATTGATAGAGGTTGTCCCTTCACACAAACCTGAGAAATTTCTGGTGCTCTATAGCAATTGGTACTGAATAGTAGGCATCTTTGATGTCTATTGATGCCATAAAACAACCTGGTGTAGTAAGTTCCTGGACTGATTCAAGGATTCCATTTTAAAGTGTTTGTATACAACAAACTTGGTTAGATCTTTTAGATTCAAGATCATGCGATAATCATTTTTATTCTTTTTCAGCCTGCAAAATATTGGAGATATGAACTCCCTCTCTAAGTGGGAACATTTCTCTGTTACTAAATTCAATATGACAATGTTGTACCCAGTCAGGCACCTCTGGGTCAGAGGTTATTTTATGCCATTCTGGGACAAACTCTTTCAACCTGCCAGCAATAAATGTGTTTTTTACCTGTTCGGTTGATGTTGAGGGGTCTTGAGGCCTTATTTGTGCTTCTTCCCCTCCTCCTTTTGTTTGTGAGTTGAGAAGCTGGGCCTTTTTGAGTTTAATTGTTTATTTTGTGAGTACTTGTAACCAAACTTCCTGCCTCTATTATTCTTGTAGGACTTATGGCTGTAATTTTGACCTCTGTATGAATCTTGTTTTGATTCACTGTTCTTGCTTATTTTCTTGTTAACCTTAGTTGCTTCAGCTAGATCTTTTAACTGCTTAGAGAGGTCAGGGTCATCTCCGAATAGGAAATCTGTGAATGGCACTGTAGGTGAACATAGATGTTTGTAGTCTGCATTGAGCTCTGGTTTTATGCTATCTCTTTGCCTATTGAGGCCAAAATTTGCTGCCCCAAGCAAGGCTACTGAGTCAGTGGCCGTTCTAATTAGAGATGGGATATCCAATAATTCTTCTGATATTTTGTCCTGGACTTTGACCAGTTGTTCAACTACCAGTACGATGGGAATGATTTCCTTCAGTAAATTGGCCTGAATAAGCTGAAGCTTTAAGTCACTTGAGCGTGTGTCATGTTTTAATTTATCCCAGAGGAGATGGTTAACCTAGGTTGGCTCCAAGCACTCGCAATTTACTGGCCTGGTATAACGATTTTTCGTTTCTGTCAATACATCGTCATCAAGTTTGACACGCATGACCTCTTTCAGTATTCCCGCGAATTGTGCATTCACAGCGGGAGCTTTCTTTCGGCCCAATTTTAAATTACTCGCAATTCCTGCAAGAGTTGAGTTTTCCTCTTTGAAGGACTCAGGGTCTGTTTGATTGGTATTATTTGTCAACGTCAGCTGATCGTTGACGTTATTAGCGTTGCTGGACCCCGATAGGTTTTGGTCCTTAGTGCTAGCGCTGTCTTTGTTTGCCCCTTGTCGGTCTCTTTCTCCGCGTCGGAGTTTACCGAGCCTTCTTCATTGGCAGATTACTCGACATATGCGAGGTTTCCTAAAGTCTCCTTCATCTCAGTAAATGAGTGGTCCATTGAGTAGTTGAGTGTGGTAATAGAGGACACTAGTTGTTTAGTCATAAGCGAGATTGCTTCGATAATAGAGTCGGGTTTCCCGAGTGAGTTTGGCGAGTGGCCATGTTTGCTTGAGTCAAGCGCTGATATTTCCTCTGGATTTTGCTTGTTTGTCATGTTGACGGTCTTTGAAAAGGTAGCTGAGAAGAGTTTCTCCTGTTTTTCTTTGATTGTATGACAGTTTACGTCGACGTTGAAAGGTTTTCTCGATTTTCAAGTTGGATTTCGTATTTCTCGACCGTCTCAGGCAAGGCGGGAAAATACACTGATCTCTCGGGCGGTTAGCGCTTTCTCACGTGACTTCGTCAGTGCGCATGATGACGAGGCAGAATCACGTGATTTTACCCCTATGAGGGAGACGCGATGGCGTAATGGTTAGTGCGCTGGACTCCGGGTCAAGGGGTCTGCATTCGAAACCTGGCCAGGTCATTGTGTAGTGTTCTTGGTTTGTCGGTCGGGATTAAGAAATAATAGTAAAATTATAAAGTAGGATGAGATCGTAGCTTTTCTGAGTCACTATGACTTGAGGTGGCGAAAGTCATCTGTTTGTGCTTATGTCATTACTTTATGGAAGATATTCTTCTATTGTTGCCAGGTTGAAAATATTTTTTTGAAAAGTAAATCAATAGTTTTCTGAATTCAAAATCATTCCCATACACCTTAATTTTTAGTTCAGTATGTCCTGCATTTGTAAGGATACTTCAAGGAATGGCAACAAAATCCACAGTGGTCCCTCTCCTGCTTCCTGGCCCTGCTCCTCCCCCTCAGTGCCCTGCAGGCGGAAGTAACTGGTATGGTTGAGACGAATGTCCTTGATAATCAACTGCAAACAGGACAAGTGGAGATGCCCACTCTTGTAGGTGCGGTAAAAGACAGTGGTGTCGTTGATGTTACATTCGAGGAAGGTGAACAGCAACAAGAAACCATTTCCAGGGAAGGTGAACAAAATGGTAAACACGAGATCGCTAAGGTGTTTTGCGATCGTGGTAGCCAGACAAGACTGCGTTCACAATCTATCTCTAAGGACGCAGAAAGTTTAAATTCACATTTCTAATTCAAAGTGAGTAGAAAACGAGCGCAAATGTTTTAACCTAATTTTACAAAGCTATTGTGCATTGAGCTGAGCTACGCTGACAGTCTCCTTCATAGGGGAAAGCAGTTTAAAACTTTAGCATGGAGGCTACGCATACTCTTTTCTGGGAACTAGGAAATAACGCCGAGGAAGACTTTTCTGTTGATTGATGTACGTCTTCGCTAAACATTTTTTGGGGCTCATGTCATATTAATTAATGTTCGCCTCTCCTTTTCAGATTTTTGTTATCAACGCATATATGCCACCGTCAAAGGCTTCTTTACAAAACGATTTAATTAATAAATGTGGTAGAGTATCTCTATCTAATCCGAAGAGCTAATGATAATTC